GTTTATAAAAAAAAATTGGTTGTTTTGTTTGTTATAAATATAAAAATTTCTAAAAGCAGATCTCTTATGAATTTTGTATGATTTTAAAATTATTGGAAAATTTTGATATTAGAGGACATACGCTCCAAGTCACCCTTTTTGTTTGTCCAATCTATGACTTATACAACTTCAGCAATCTCATCACTATCACTCTCATCGTAACTTGCTTCTCCATTGTTTTTGCAGGAAGGCTCTGTTTTATTATATACGGTCTAACCTGAGGAGACTTGTTTGTACATAACAGAGCAATGCTCAATATTTTAAAAGCATCCTCTTTGTATTCATATTCTATAATCGGATCGATTAATACTTTAAGAGCATCCTCTTTAATGCTCAATACTTTAATCATTAATTCCATCATCTTTTCTATGTTCATCTTCCTGCTCCTGCTCCTGCTCCAGCTCCAAACCCACATGACGATGTCTCTGTTCTCGCCAAACTCTATTTACACAACCCCAAAGCTGTACACGTCGCTCTTCTTGTTCACTTTGGTCGTGTATGCGTATTCTGTGGACGAGAACGAAAACGATTTTCAATTGACAGGTTAAAGCTTGAGGAGCAAGAAAATTATTAAAGCTTGAGAAGCAAGAAACTTGAAGCTTAGTTTAACCTAATGGTACGAGAAAATTGGACGAGGATATGATCAATAGTATATTGTTAAAAGAACATAGGTTGGGAAAAAGACAATGCATCAAGGGGTTGATGCCACGAGTGTGACCTTTGGACGTCTGTATCCATCCCTTCTTTCTGATGTCCCAAATCTTAAGATTCGGATGATCGCATCACTTGAACCCGATGCAAAAAATTTACCAAACGATGAAACTCAACAGCAGAAGAATTGGATCTATGTCCAGTAAAACCTCAAACCACTACACTTCAAGAGCACGAGTGAACATGTCAGACCTCATAACTCTAAACTAAACAGTAGATATAGTCTGGTACACTGCTCAAATGACAGGAGCATAATCCACATGGATATTTAACATGTTCTCGTTTGATAAAAGTAGCTAGGCATATCGATCAGGAGCAAAAAAATATTTTAAAGGAGAGCACAAAATCAATCAACTAACTATTTGCTTCTTTTCGGTCCCACAGCTTTATCACACCCGAAGAAGCTCTAGCAAGCACCAAAACTTTCATTGCCAACCGAGTCGCAGCCGTTTTCGGCGTCCAGTTTGTTCGATAGGTTCAGCAGGTTGAGGATGGCGAATGGGCCGAAAACTTTCCGCTATAGGTTCTCCTCCTATGGATAATGATTCCCAACGCCACAATGTGTGGGTGTCAGGAAGAAACATTCGGGGCTTATCTTCAAGTTGTCCTAGGAGAATATTGGAGCCTCTCATCTTTAAACGGTAGAGAAGATGAGATATCTCCATGTCCATGTCTCCAGAGATGAAGAGTATATTTGCAGGAATATACTCTTCATCTACCCATGCCATCAAGATATCAGTCATCATCTTCATATGCTTCCAATGTTGATCTGAATGTATGTATATCATAGGAACGTTTAGGACAGACTATAAGGACATATAATAGTGAATGTAGATACAATAGAGAGAGAGAGAGCGTCAAAAGAATTCACCTTCATTAGGGATTATAGTGACCTTGATTTCTTTCTCCAAATTTGGTGGATCTTCTGTCCAAACCTGAGCTAAAGTTCGATAGACAAAGATTTTAACCATACCAGCATAGGTGCTGCCCTCAGGGATCTTGCAATCCCCGGCGTCCCAGAAGACGAAATTCGTAGCCCCTGCGATTAGATGAAATTCGTTAGAACAAGTGAATGCTGAATTCTGCTACTCTACATAACCATTTAACATCACAGAGAAAACAAAAATTATATCTATGGGTACAGATACATAGCGAGAGATCCTACCGCCGAAGGTGGAGGAAGACATGGTTTTGACTTCGTGATGAATTCCCTGAAAATGGTTTACACAAAAGTTAGTCAGTGCAGTAATGTGACCCTACATTAACGAGCATACAGAATGCAGAAGAAAATACGTACTTGAAGAGTCAACTCATCAGGCTTCACGTGTATCTTCGA